ATAGCTATCAAGTCAACTTAGACTGTCGGGGCACTGGTACACTTTGGAGGGCATGTCAATGTGTCTTCCCTCAATTGGGCTTTGTGGGCACCGAGACACGTTACTGTATGTATTTCTATGAGTTGTGTCCCATAAGAGTCATTACCAATAAGATCAACTATGTCTGCACACACACAGGTCATATGGCTGAAGGCCTGTGTATTTGGTGACTACTTCAGCAAATATAGGTACTGCATTAGTTATATACAATGTAGACTTTATATGCTGGTTCATTTTCCTTAAGCCAGGGTCCAGGTTTTGTTAGAACTTGGCATCAGTATTTTCGTTTCTACAGGACATTACCATGTCATTTATTATTTTACTGGTCTGCCTACTTTTCTTGTTATATATCGGTTTAGCCAAGCTTTCCCAATGAGAGCAGGTCATAATGGCATGTCACAGTTATGCATCCTTCGTGAAATTGACAGGCTGTGTGGAACGACAGCTTATGCAAACTGTTCATTGCTGGCCTGATATGCCAGTATACACAGCAACTGAACACGTAATAATGATTCCTCTCACCATTGACTCTTATGGGCTGTGTTAACTCACCCAGATCAATGACCTGTTTTATCACTCTTTTGACATTTGCCCACATGTAATTAACTTCTAGGACCTTCTTTTGATGAAGCAACTCACCCCCCATCTATGACAAACAGACCTCCACCTATAGACTGAATGATTCTTTAAGTTTATTTACAGGACATACTTTAGAACCAGCAGCCATTACAACATTGTCTTTCTGCATGTTCCTGTTTGCTTGAATGAGTTCTACATTCCCATAAAATGGGTTAATTTCAACATTATAGTTTAATTTGACAGGCTGGTATATGTCTGTATGTTACTTTAACATATGAACAGTTTGAATAAATCCATCCAAAATGTGAAAGGGACACATTCTTCCATTAAGCACATGGTGCACTTGAAATAAACTCTGGGAAAGAAGACGGCTTCCGTTACAGTATGATTATCTCACAAATGCATTACCTGGGGGACTTTTCCTTAAATAAGAAAGGCAGAGTTTAAGGGTTGAAATCCAATTAGGCTTCGTTAGTCCATGCTAAAAATAGCAACGGCAAAGTCAAGAAACTGTTAGTCAGCCTTGCAGATATCTTCAAACGTAAATATAATGAATAATGTTAAAAACGTACCCCTTGGTATCACACTGAGATGAGCTGATAGCAGGCTCTGTGTTTGCTTGAAAGGCTGTCTCTGCTTGCGTGTTGGGTAGAGGTTGCATTTAACTGGCTTGATGTGCACACGGATCTGCTGTGGCTACTCCAGATAATTGTTTCCATAAAGCTTTGAATATCATAGGTCAAGGTTTATTGAAGGTGAATGCATTCAGCACAAATTGAGTTATCCTATAAATACTTCATTCGTTATGCGCGTGCAGTGTGGGCATCTTATAGTAGTGCTAATTGGATTAGCCCCACATTCTCCTACCCTTTTGAATTTTAAGGCTGTTTTGAAGACAGTTGTCACAAGGACCATCATTATCGTCAGTTATTAATTCACAATGCAGTACCAGTAAACAAGTTATTTGATAAACCTCCTGATGTGTGTTTGTAAAAACTGAATCATATGGACATATGACTGTTAAAAGCATCATAAAGGCTATATAAGGTTCCTTTACTAGATGACTGTGGATCCCACCCATGGAGATTAGTGCCAGCCTTGAACATACTGATCTTTTGAAGACTCAGGGGTTCTTCTCTCTTTTTATTATTTCCTTGGCATGTTTTACTTAATGGCAATGTGCTATCAGACAGAAGGGCCACTTCCCTTCACAGCTGCCATATTCCATCCATCCATCCACTCAGTCATCCTGGCCTGAGTTGGGGGTGGAGGATGGGGGGTGGGATGCTGGAACCTATCCCAGGTGACATCGGGCATAATACTGACGTATACTCTGTACATGAGTGAGATTATCTTAGCTGCATGTTCTTGGACTGCAGGAGGAACTGGGAGCAGGAACCTTGACTGGGGAGAACATGCAAATTCCACACACACAGACTGGAGGGGGATTCAAGCCCCAGCTCTGGAGGTGCAGTAGTGGAACCCTCTAAGCCACAATGCTACCTTCCTATTGGCCAGAGTATGTTTCTGCTTGAATCCCCAGCTAAGTAACAAATCAGATTTAGCAGAGAGTCTGCATGTTCTTCTCGCATCTCACAGTTTTCCTCCTACAGTACAAAGACTTGCAGTTAGTTAACTAACTGCATTTCTGAAATCTCCATAGTATGTGCATGTTATTGCCCTGTGATGGACTGCAGTCATGTCCAGAGTGTCCCCCAGCCCTGTGCCCCGTGATAGACTGGCATCCTCTCCAGAGTGTCCCCCAGCCCTGTGCCCCGTGATAGACTGGCATCCTCTCCAGAGTGTCCCCCAGCCCTGTGCCCTGTGATAGACTGGAATCCTCTCCAGGGTGTCCCCCAGCCCTGTACCCTGTGACAGACTGGCATCCTGTCCAGGGCGTCCCTCAGGCCTGTGCCTTGCGTTGCCTCAGATAGGCTTCAGGCCTTCATGTAGACCTTGACCTGACCAATAAAGCTTCAGTAATTTAGAAGTCTGTGGGCACAAAGGCCTTTCACAGTGGATTTCTCAGAACCTGTGCTTAGAAGTAGAGCTTATGTGATTTCATTGGAGGACGCGTGATCTCTTAATCACAGATCTCTAACTCCTACTGGAAAGAAAGCAAGCAGTTTATCGGAGGCCAAAGGCTGGTCTGGTTTGAGCATTTTGATGTGTAGGCTTCACACAGAAATTTCCATTGGCTCTTTTATTATAAGGTTTATGGGGATATTGTCTCCATGTGTTTGCATGCTCCATTGCAGGCCCTCGTAGCCCTATAGGTCTATAATAGGATTGTCTATAGTGTATAGCATATGTTCTCCTCCACTGAAGATACTGTGCGACCTGTCAGCTGAGGCCACAGCTCCGCTCTCTGACAGGAAGGACGGGCAGGCCTGGTTAGGGCAGCCAGTGCAGCACTCTGAGGATGATCCACCGTGAACAGATGGGATCAGTCCATGATACAGCCCTCAGGTCATCAGCTGATGACAGCTCGGGAGTTGGGGTCTATTCAGAATGGGTCATGTGATGGTTGGCAGAGCGCATACGTTCAGAATGGAACGTGACGAGACTCCAGCAGGCACCGGGCAGATCTTTCCCTGATAAATATGCACATTAATTTCAGGAGATAAGGAGGTGGCTTTATCTAAAATCGTAAACCCCAAAATGGACTGAGACTTTCCCTCTTTGTCATCTATACCTCTCTTTCTGTTACTTCACAGTGAATATTTTTTTAATCATATTTTTGATCAATGATAGATTATTAAACATGCATTTGTACTACTGATGTTGTTATTCTCTGTAGTAGTCATGATTAAAGTATTAACAGTAATCATGACTGTTGTTCCAAAAATTCAGTGTACATTTTTTTATATCTGAAATGAATATACAAATTCTGGGAAAGATCCACAGTAAACCTACAAACAATGATTATATTTTATCCTTTTTTTACAGGAGAAAAAGACCAATAAAAGTAAGCCATCATTAAGATTAATTTTCTACTTAACCAAGAGTGGCATGTTGGATGGGCCTTGCTCACCTCACTTGCTTGTTTTTAAAGTTTCATTCCTCATACCTGGTAATTAACCAACCAGTGTTAACATAAACAATTGATGGTCTGCGCTAACACATCAGGCTTTGGGCTGAATCAGACATGTGGGAAAGAGCATCCAGCTTAATCCTGTTTTGCCCCTATTTAAAACACTGCCTTCAAGTCTAAAGCCTGATTATAACTATATAAATTTAAAGTGAAATACATTTCCATTCAAGAATTGAATGTCCCCTTAAGTTTAAGCTAGAAGAACACTGAGTACGAACTAGAGCAAATCTTACTTTTGTTTGTAGTAGTAGTAGAAGTAGTAGTAGTAGTAGTAGTAGTAATAGTAGTAATAGTAGTCATATTGTTTTTGTTGTTTTTGAATGTCTTGTGAATATAGTCTTTGGTTGTTGAAAGACTCGCATTTTCAGCTTTGATTCCCAACCCTCAACTCAAAGCCTTCGGGTCACATTCTATATTTCTTTTTCCGTTCCAACACCAGCGTGTCGATTCAGCTAACAAACAAATCATCGTATCCCTGACTAGGTGAATCGGCCATGCTGGGGGAATGTGCGACGTGCAATACTGTGTGGCCTTTGAGTATATGATTGGGAACACCTGGTCTGGATTGGTTAGACTATTTTAAATATGTATCAGGTAGTGCCTGTTTAAGATCTTATGTTATATATAAAAAAAACACATTTAAGCTGAAAAGGCAGTTTCATATTCCAGATTTCATTAGCCTAATTGTACCTCACTCTCTTTTATCCGCTACATTTGTTCGAAGGTATGTTAATGACGCAGCTAATTGGCCAGTGTGCTTGTTAATTCGTACACTGATAGCACTCACCATCATCCAGTGACATTTTACACCATTTAGGGTTTAGGAAAAGACAACATATATTTATTTAAACACATCTTGCCCCCACTTTTTAAGCATGCTATTCTTTTAATTGGAAATCACTTCCTTTTAAGTATGTGTGTTACTTGTTTTTTCTTAGTTTTTGGTGGTTTTATGTTTCTACATGCTATCTGTGATGGACATGAAACAAAGACGAGTATCAGAAAATGGCCTTCGTATAACAACTGAATCTCTGAACAGTTTTATCGATCCCATTTGAAAATATATTTAAAAAAATGTTTTTCAGATGCAAACGCCTGGGATGGTTCAGCAGGTTTCTATTAAGTGACGTTTCTTGGATTTCTGTTCAGCTGCATATATAAACATTGTTTAATGTTTTCTGATACCCACCTTATATTCATGTGACGTAATTATATCAGTAACCATATTGTCAGTAATTATTGTGAAGGTGGGCCGTTAGCTAATGATGGGTGTGTCTCGTCCCCGCAGACTCGCGGCCGCTGCCCGACGTAGCCATGACCGGCAAGTGCACGCGAGAATGTGACGAGTTTGGACACTCTGACTCCTGCTGGATGCCCGTGCGGACGTCGCCAGAGAGGCGCCAGAAGAACACCCAACCAAAGCTATCCACCTTCGTGCCCGGCGCTGCTGAGCAAGGCAGCCAGGAGACCCTCCCCAACGGGGATCCCCCACACCTGGTCGGCGACCGGAACCGCAACCTGCTCAACAAGAAGATGTCCTCATCCTCCTATGAGACCTTCAGCACGGCCAGCTTCGGGAAGAACGAGGACAGCCACCCGGAAGACATTCCTCTGGCCCAGGCAGGAGAGTATAAGCCGTCTTCCTGCGGGACGCTGACCCGGCGGGAGGTCTACCTGTGAGTCTCCTCCGACTGACCGGGCTCAGAGGAACACTGGTCGAAGAAAAACCCAAACCCAGTGGATATAAACGAGCTGATCATCAAAAAAATACAAGTACAAATCCAACCTGCAACTTGTGGGAAGGGGGAAGAGGAGGGGGAGGTTAGTGACGAACGCGGAAGCTTGACATGCGGGAGCAGTGCCGGCGAGTCGGGCTCTGGGACGTTTGGCTGCCTGATTATTACATTGTATAATGTAGAATTCATTTTCATAACCTGCATGCATAATCTCCCCTTATGGACTGTACTGTATAAATGGAGTTTGTTAACTAGTCTAATGGACACTAGGAACAGGAACGGGGCACGCGACACGGTGCAGGACGCAATGAGAGCCTAAAAGGACGTTTGTCACGCAGTGCCCCTCGCCTGCTCTGATGCAAGTGTCACGTCAGTATGCAAATCCAATCAGATCATCCGATCTGAACACCCCCACCATCCCCCCGTGAGTAAAGATGGGATGGCTTGTGAAAGAAAAGAGTAAAGTGAGCAGCATGACATACTCATCCATGCGATTACCACATCTAATATGAACATTTTAAGACTGAGCTTTAACATCCCGCCCTGGGGATTGGACAGTGGTCATCATAACTCGCACCTTGCATCACATGAGATTACCAATGTCAGATCTGGACCTGCTGAAACCCATAAATGTTCACTTGTCATCTTAAAAGGATCACAACTTGTGGCACACAAGATAGCACCCAGACATACACTGAAAGATGTCTGTGCGTGTGTGTATCCCTCTCAAACCTCTCTCTCTCTCTTTATCTCTCTCTCTCTCTCCTTCCAAAACACCTGCAGAAACAAGCGTGGGACACAGTGATAGCCATAAAAGTTTTACAGGCATTTGGAGTTTTGCTCACTCATTCGATTAGCAGAGTTGAGGGGCCTATTGGAAGACACACGTTATTGAGCCATAATATATATTTGTGAAATTATGAGCCACTCAATCAACGGCCATAAGTGAAAACTAGGCAGAAGGTGACGTGGTTCAATGATTTTCAGTGATCACAGATAAGTTAATCAGTTCAGTCAGTTTTAGATAGCAATCTTCATGTTTAAAATGCAGTTATGTTCAGCAGTCTGTGTCAGTTTACTTTTCACTGGGGGAGAAAAGTGGAGAGGGATAAACGCTGGCACATGCACACCACTGCAGCTGTGGCATCGCATACCCAAAACTCATCTTCTAGCCAGAAAGCGGAAGCGCCGCAGGGAGTTGTGAAGCCAGCACGGGGTATACAGGAACACAACGTGCATCTCGCATTAAGTCAAATTGGTATCATAGATAAACCAAAGTATTGGGAATAACAAACTGGCATGAAGGTATGAAAAAAAGAAAAAAAAACATTTCTCTGGTAAGTTTTAGACAAAACAAAATAGCTTTTGGTAGTATGTTGCTTTAAATACATGCGTATTTGTCAATGTATAGTCATAGTATAGGTTGATTGAATCGTGGGAACGAGGCGCACCGCGGCGTCTTCTCCGTTTTAAACACCCTTCAGTAATCCTGAGGTTTTGTGTCCGTTTTTCCGCTGAGTGTTGTCACACCCAAACGAGACATTTTGTGGAGGAGACTGAGCAAAACATCAGGATAAAATAACGAAAAAAAAAAATCTCAGATGCAACGGACCCTTTTTTGTATGTTAGATAATCTTTTGTTGAAGAACTGCTTTTTTGCAGTTTCCATTCTGTAGTCTGTAAGTACTACTTGTTGTCAAGAGAAGTGCTTCTATGCTTATAAATTGTATACATACATAAATATGTACTTTTTATTGCACGTTTAAAGGGGATTTACTTCACTTACTGCGAAGGAAAAAACTTTTAAAAAATAAAAAAAAAAATCTAAAACAAACAAAGGAAAAAAAAAATCCTGTGAACACGGAGGTCCATCTTGTTGCTTGCTTTTGTTATATCTAAACAAACATTAGCCGTGTAGTATAACTTAGTATCTCAGTATGAAGAGGATGAAATATACCCGGGACTCGTCGATTCATGTTTTATTTATTCCTTCATTCGTTCCTTTATACCAGATTTCATTTCCCTCTTTTCTGATCCCCATTCCGTAAAACGTCCATTACAGTTATGGCAATGATGTGCATAAAATTACCTTTTACCTGTGGAAGTATCACTTGTTCATACATCAAAACGAGCTGCGACTTTATACTGGCATGGCATTTACCGAAGTTGATTTGTATGTTTTTAATACGTAATGATAATGATGATGGTCATAAATCTGATCGTCGTTATTACTGTATTTTATTTTTATTTTTTTTCCTGGTGCCACTTTGTATATTTAGAGTGCTTCTGTACAAATATAGAGTGAATGCAACATAAGCAATTGTGCCTTTTTATACCTATCGGTATGATTCATTGTGGGTTGGATATGGTATCGAACATTGGATGCTTTGTAAAAACTACAAAAGGTCTCTAAATGTAAATCAAACACTTAGTGGCGACCCATGAAATTGGTGGTATGTGTGATATTCGGCATGGGTGGGGTCGAGTTGGATATGGATGGTGGGGGCATTAACCACGCCCGGATCTTGCGCTCTTTACGCATTTGGTTTGTTCGCACGAGCGCACGGCGCTTTCAGATTAATGCCCATGTGGAGACCTTTCAAAGACATTTATACGTCGACATGTGACTGGCCCCCAATAGCTAATCTGTAAAGTAAACATGACTGATTGAAAATGGGCGCTGGCTGAATGCACACTTAAGGAAGTGAAAGAATCCTTCCAGTCATATAGCCTGATCAGTTCAGCTTGGGCCATTGAACAGATCCATTCAAGGCCAGGCTGTGTGCTCTTTAACTCCCCTTAATCCATTTATTTATTTATGTATTTATTTATTCTGTATTTATTTATTTATAAAACATGGAGACATCACAAGATCTGCATGTTCCCTCATTGAACAGGAAACAGACAAAGTAGCAAGGTCTCGACTTTATGAAGCTATACAAATTGTACGCCAAAAGTATCCCCGCTATGATGACAGATTGCTGTAATGTAGATATGCACCTTGGTAGTAGACATGCCGCAAAAGGTCTGTCTATGTGTCTTTTATAAAAACAGAATAACAAAACAACAACAAATTATTATTATTAGTATTATTATTGTTATTATTACTATCCCCACATAACTTTAGTATAATACAATTTACTTTCATCTTGCCTGAGTGTATGTTCAGCCAGTTCCCTATCAAATCTTTAAGCATTCACAATCAGTGTACCAAGACCTTTGTATTATTAATCATAAACTATTTGTCCTGCAACATGGATGTTGATATCAAATCGAGGAACAATTTATCATCGTTTATTATAAGTCACTATGCACGCAGCTAAGCTGAACATGGCTAAATGTATTGAACGCAAGTCCACTTCTATTTATGAAATATTTTACATAATTTAATTTGCTTTTGTACAGGATTCTGTAAATAAATTGCTTGTCATTTTTGTCGCTGCAAAATTAAAATATAACATGTTAAAACTGAACTGTTTAAGCAGTTTATTTTAGCTTCTTTAGAGTGTTTATTAATCTCTGTGTATAAATACATAGTGTTACCATACCTCCAGAATCCAGGATGGCTAATTACATTGATATTTGATCTTCTGGCAAGAAGATGTATATTTTTGGTAGGATGGGTGGATTTTTGAGGATCGGTTGCTGAATTCCTAAACAACTGGCTTTCTAGCTGAGAAAGAAGACCCCTTGGGCAGTTAGGCTGGGTTTTGGTTATGGACAGGACCTTCTAAACGAAAGCTCAGAGATCTTAGAGAACCCTTAAGTAAAGCTACGATACCAGTGCTGAAAGACGTTCCAGCTTTAAATGTATAAACCATAAAAAAGTAAAATCTAAATATGTCATTTAATTAGGAGCTTTGATAAAACTAATGTTCATCTCAGATTAGAGGCTTGTCCCACTTCTCTGCAGTTTGGACATCAGCCACAGAGATGACATTAGCCATTTCATTACGCACAATAAAGGTAGCCTGAGTGCGATGTGAACTACAAACTGCAAGTTAGCTTTACATCATGTCTGTGATTGAAGCCGGCAAAAATCAAAATTGCCATCAAGACGGTTATAAAGAGGGAATCTGTGAAGCTTTCTAGCCTTTAACTTGTGCTATATCTTGGTAATTTGTGTCCCAGCTGACCCAAATGCCCCTCGTTCCAGACATGGAAAGTGGAGCCAGTAGAAGCTCTGGAGGGCTGAGAGTGTGCCCAACCTTGCGACACAACAGTCATCCAGATCACATTAACGTCACAGGAGAGCGTGGCTCCCTCACACACCCCAACCTTCCGACACAACAGCCATCCACACAACATGAACTTCAACAAAGATTTACTTCTCTGGAACTTCAGGCAAATCTTAACACATACTAAAGTGCTTCCCTTTTATTCTTAAAGCAGTTCTTTTTTCCTTGTTATTAATAAAGTCATTTATGTTTGCAAATGAAAAAAACTTTCATTAGCCTCAATTACCCTTCTGACCTATATGTGCTTCTTAATGGCCCTTAAAGCAAACATTTGGTGCATTACTTACACATGAATGATACCATTTTTCATTAGATTAATATTATGCTAATTATTCCCAATATCCGACACTACAGTGGAGAGGAGCATTCATTCATTGCTATTCAGTAAGACTAATGGCACTCCAGTTTGTTGTCATTGAAAAACCATTGTCCGTCAAGAGGACCTATTTCATATTCTCTCTACGCTGGATTTTTCAGCTGTGTATATGCATCTGCAAATAGCTGTGGGTATCACTGTCATTGTATGGTATCACGTCGGCACATCTTACCTCAACTATGTCATCCTGGGCCCCTGTTCAGGTGACCGTACCTCGGCCACAGTGTGTGGACACCCTCTTCATCGACCCCAGGTCATTAGGAAGCTCATTGCGGAAATTTAGTGTTCTTGTCTTGGCAATATCTTAAGCAGAGCTGATTTTGAGAATAAAATGTAATTGCCACTTGAACATATGTTTACAAGGCTTTGCGGACATTTCGACATATTCAGGCAACAGCTAAACTGCAGTCACTGCCTCAGCAAAGCAAAGTCTACTAGTGCCTTTAATCCTCAGACGAAAAGGGAGGCTGATTTCCGGGGTCTTCCAATGTCTGCCATTGTACAGTGGTACCTGATAAACTTAACGGACAAGGGGAGGAAATGGCTACTTCTCCAAGTGACAGTCAGTTTTAATGCGCATTAATTCAGTCTTCCACTTTTTCCTAAAAAATGGTTTTAGCATCCCTGAACAAAAATGGAAATTTCCGCTCCATGCCAGGGGAAATTTAGAATAATAATAATTGTGAATACAATTAAACTTTAGGCAATGCATTTTGGACCACAGAAATGATAATCTTTTCAAATAAATTAAACAGTGCTGAAATATTTTACAGTTTCATAAATAATATATGAATTTACTTGTATCATGCTTGGAATTATTTGCGTAAATGTCATCTACAATTAAAATGAAGCGACACAGCATTGGAATCGAGATGGTAATGGAGAATGAAACTTTAATGTTTACATTAAGGGCTGTGAGGTCTAATACCAACCTCTGCTGTGGGCGTGCAAAGGACAACGGAAGGCTCTATGGATCCATGAAAAGAAACCAGCAGTGAACTGGTCAGACTTCCTCAGTGCTCTGACTGCACGAAGCATGGATGGGGATCTTGCCGCTTTAGACAGCAGAAAAAGCAGCAGTCGCTCCCTTTGACCCCAAGCTGCAGCTCCCGCCTTCAGAGTTTCTATGGCGGGCACAAGGCATCACTGCCCCCAGATAAATACTGCGTGCTTAAGTCTATATCACAGATGCTGGCCAATGCGGTCATATCTCCTGATGGAAGTCTGTGTGCAGTGTGGAAAAGTGAGGGGGGAAGAAAGTGTGAGAAAAAGAGATAGAGGGAGGGTTTAAAGGGCTGGGCCAGGGGTCCGAAACTCAATTTACCCAGAATCCAGTGTGAACCATGAAATCTGCCCTGAAGGCCAATGATCTTCCAGAAGCAGGCGAATTCGAAGGCCCTGCCTGTGATTTTCACACAGCTGACGGGGGCACTAACCATCAAAGCGCTTGAGAAGTGGGCGTCTTCCCACCAGGATCGAGGGGGGCTATGTCACAAGACCAGGTGTCTATCATGTCAAAAAATATATATTTTGCCCAGAAATAGTTATAGCCTGAAGTGAGGAGGAGAACTCAGCAGGCAAGTAATCAATCACTGTAAGGCACTGGGGCTGGAATGCTGCCGCATATGTAAACCTACGAGGAGGAGAAGGGAAACCAGCAGGTGCACCTGACAATAATCCTGCAGAGAGGCACTAAAATTGCCTCTGCACTGTAAGCGGAATCTTACATTTCAGTCTGTTTAAACAGACAATGCTGTCATCACATATATACCTAATAAAATATATCTCACATGCATAGACGTACAATTATTCATCACTGCCAGTGTCTGTATGCCCATCATTCCAGCTGGCAGTTGAGTGAACTTTTCATATACTTCATTGTCTCTGTAGGACAGTGTGTGTGTGTTCTTATATTGGTGAGCTTCCCTGTGCGTGTGGGAGTGTGCTTACATGGATATAATTGTGCCAAAAATTTGTTTGTTGTCAGATTTCATATGTTCATGAGTTTCACCTGAGTGGAATTTGGAAAATATTTGACATTATATTAACTGTACTTATAATAATAAATGTATATGTGTGCACGTGTGTGTGTGTATGTGTGCATGTTTGCGCAACTGTGTTTGCGAGTGTAAAAACAAATTGGCTGCTAATGACTGTGCGGGGCTGCAGTGTGAGCGTGCTCCCCCTAGGGGCACCCGGCTGGTCGTGTCCTGAGAGACA